ACTGTAATCCGCGTTATCAGAATTTAATTAGTATTGTTCTCAATATTGGACCACAGTGGTCTATTATATTACAGTTTAGTACTCATAAAATCTTACAGTTGTAAATTCAAATATCTTTTACTTTCTGTTTGTCCACATTAAATACAAATGTAGAAACTCTGAACCTGCAATTACTCATAAACTTCAAGAAATGGGGTCCTTCAGTAGTGGCTAATACTACTTTCACCTCTCCAAGAAATTCACAACCTTCTGTGAAAGTCAAGCGTCCATTACTGTGATCACAAATGCCCGCCACCGGTCCCTTTCCTGAGGCACATGCATTTAGTTACACCCTACAACCTTTTTTCTCTGAGACTAATTTTAATATTATTCTCTTGTCTACTCCTAGGTCTTCCTGGCTTTCCAGCCGAAATTTATACTGATTTATTATCCCCATGAAAGCCATATTCTCTGTCAAAATCATCCTTATTTATATTATCATTCTAAAAATATCTGGCTGGTGGCTGCAAATTATGGAGTTGCTTATTATACAATTATCTACAGCCTTGTTAATTCGTGTTTCTTAGTTCCGAATATTCTGCTAAGCATCCTGTCTCAAGTACCATCAATTTGTATTATTTCCTCAACGTGAGAGACCAAGTTTCACACACTTAACAAAACAATATAGAAAATTACAGCTTTTAATATTTTAAATTTCAGGTTTTTAAATAGGAGAGTGAAAGGCAGAAAGGTTCCTAACTGCATAGTAGGAAGCATTGCGCAGATTTATTATGAACCTGTAATGCAGACATTAAGAGAAATGTTCGTAAAATAAATATCTAAATTTTTAGCATTTTATATAAAGTATTTTTACACAATTTTTCTACATTCAGATTTACTGGAACGTTGTTAATTGCAGCAGAGAAGCAATGACGCAAGTTCATTCTCCTTTGTACAGGTTCAACGATCGTATCATGACACAGCTTACAGTACCTTAGGTTTTTCTCTCGAAACCAGAGGAAAATACGAGAAATTTCCATAGTAGATGTACAGCTCATCTCTTCAACGTTTCGGATGAGTTCACTTTCTCCGTCTTCAAGGTTGACTTCCTTCTTGACGCAACGAAATTTCAATCAATCATATTTTTGCTTTCGGTTCTTCTTTTCAGCTCCTTCAAGAACTGTAGTTCAGATCAGATGACTAATTGAATTTCTCTCCGTTCTTCCCAAGCCTGTATTGTGATCTAATGCGTTTGTTTGTATCTGTGTTTAAGGGAGGGATTTACGAAGTAAATCAAGTCTGCATTTAATTTGTCTGGCTAGAAATCTCAAGGCGCATTGATTTAATTTCTGTGACTTTTCCCGTGTTTTCCTCAGTTACTGAAACAATATTCTGAAGTGAGTATAGATACGGACCACCATAATTTTTCCACTTACCCTTCCAACGACAACATCGACGTCACACGTCGGCAGTGTTAGACACTGAACCACCAATAAAAATAAGGACGTAATGGAATAGGGACTCACCTTTTTGAAATGTTTTCGTTTTGATTCTCCTCTTATTCATTCTATGAGTTATACATAATTTTCTCATTACTGGGATTATCAGAATGTTATTCCATTCAGTAGGTCAAGATGTCATAACTATTGATAAGCTCATTAATTTTTATGAATCTGTACAAGGATAGATTTTTGAATGCATAATCATAGTGCCCTGGTGGACTAAAGTCTTATGGTGGAAGTATTTATCGTATTTCTAATAAGTTTTATAATTACACCTTATTTTATCAGTATTAGGCGTTGTCATTAGGTATGAGTTGCTTAGTGCATCACTGAGGCACCGATGTCAGTTTGACTATAGCTACTATAAATTGTATTTAACCATGAAGTTCATCCGAATGTTATTTAAAAATTCAGTTCCTACCTCAAAATAAACAGGAAGCTTTTCCATAGCTAAGATTAATGTTAGTGTCAATGCTGTTTAGGGAAGTAATCGCTTATAATTCACTGAAACGCACTGAATGATGCTTTTACTTAAAATACGTTGAAAGAAGAGGCGGCTTTAAAACAGATCGGCAAAGCTTATGGGGAGAGTGAAACGAATAGCTAAGCGACAGGCCAGTGAACGTCGGGGACACTGGTATGTGATTTAAAACTCCGTCTCTTCTTCATTGCTTTTGCTTACAGTTATTTCGTATACTTACATGAGCTTTATCTATTCAACCACGTATATACAATGTTCTTTTTCCCATCGCTGTTTGTCCCAGTTTTCGTTCTGTTCTGCGATTTCAAAATTCCGATCAGATATATTGCCCCAACAAAACTTCCCAGGTACAGTCCGAGTATAAAAATATTATTATTCATGTATTCATTTCCTTTGAACCTCTTCAGGCAGGTGAGCTAAGGAATGTTCTCTGTGGTTTGTGTCATTGTAAATCCTATCTGGTGCCTTTTGAATTTGCCGAAATGTGATTACGAATTTGTAGGGAACTACCTTTGTGTTAACAAATTATCAGAGAGCGTACTTAATTTTTTACGTCACTCCAACGTTAATTAAATCTTTCACTCCAGTGCATATTACAAATTTGTTTTTCACAGTACAAGAACAATCAAGCTACGAAAAGATATGTGTTATAAGTTTTATAATCTAATTGTAGAATTTTTAATTCATCATTGTGACATTCAATGATGATATATAAAATAAGAAGATTAATTTGCAACAAACATAAATACTCTATTATTCTTAGAATTAGGCGTTCATTATGGAAACTAGATTTCGAAGAAGATTTTGACGTCACACTCATATAGTACGTGAAAGCAATTCTCTGAATCATAAGCCTTCTTCTAAATCGTTTTACCATGAACATTTTTTTAAACGAGACTCGTTTAACTATTTACTCTTATAAATCTGTATTGAAAGAACTAATATTTTCGTTTCTCTCCATTTTATGTTTCAAAATATTGGTTACCAATTAAATATGTGCAAGGGTTTAGACATTCATGGATTTGTGTAAATCGAATCGTGGTATGCATTTCATATAATATGGAGTGAACTAGTGAATTCTCTTTGTAGTATGTAGTCTTAACAAATTTGTACTGAGTTCAATTATACATAAGCAGTACAGGGCTCGCACACTCTTTGAATTCCGATCCGTATATAATACTAAACATCACAAAGCCGACCGAACAAAAATGCATGGAACGCCTCTCTTTAAATAAGAGAACTAATAAAAAAAATCAGTGCAAATACCACACATATTTCAACTCTTTGTTGAAGGGAGTTTATGTAGCGTATAGCGTATGGGTATGTGTTTCATTTTGCAATACTTCAGCTGTACGCATGGTAAATTGATCGACTGACACTGTAGAAGAATGAAAATAATATAGGTACAAGAAGTGGATTTGAAAAAGAGGCAAAATTAACTGGTATTTTCTTTAAAAAACCAGTTTCTAACACTTTAGTTATTTAGGTTTTGAACCCTTGCATTTCACACCACAAATTATATGCTTTAAAATTATGGATTAGGATTTGCCGCATTGAAATCAATAAAGAGCTCTGGACTGCCGTATATTGCCTGAAATATTTTGTAGATTTATCACTAGATAAAATAAATATGTTTTATACAATGTAATGCGAGTGTTGTAATTATTATCTCATTAAAGCATCGCAGTTACTGTATATTTTGACTTACTTCAATCTTGCGCCAATGCATCACAGTTCTTTATCTCTTAAATTAACTGAAATACATTTTACATGGTGAATTCGAGTCGGACTGTGATTATGACAAAAGAAAAACAACTACAACAAAACAAGTAGTGGAAATAGTCCATTGAAATTTAACGGGAAATAATTTCTTTTTTATCTGCAGCTCTTACCCTTTCCTTCGTTTATTATATTCCTTTCCTATATCATCCTCCTTTACAGTTCCTTATAAGAGTTGCCTGATTGTGGCCGAACTTGCAAAATAGAACGTTTTATCTGCAGCTCTTACCCTTTCCTTCGTTTATTATATTCCTTTCCTATATCATCCTCCTTTACAGTTCCTTATAAGAGTTGCCTGATTGTGGCCGAACTTGCAAAATAGAACGTTCTGTCATCTAATGTCATTACTAAAGAATTGTTTAGTAATGCATAAAGCAAGCACGCGCTGTCATAAACAGTATCATTGGATTCCGAGTTGAATTACAGTACTCGGATATACTAGCTTGCTTACATTAATATCATGATTAAATATTTGTTTTATCGAATTCATTTAATTAATTATGGTCTGGTAATAAATTCTATGAAATTATAGAATAAACAAAACGTAACAAATCACATTTCGCTACGAATTGCTTTACCGAATGCCAGTGTTGAATGGTTTTCACTTCTTATTTCGGAGGTCACGGATTAGAACCTCGGCCCCCAGGCCAGATGTTCTGACTCAGCTTTCATATAGAGATTATGATTCCTTCTAGACGAAGCTTGCCTTAGAATAGGGCATAATTGATTCCTTACATCTTCTTTCGAACTCACCATTCACATTTGTGCCAGTATCAAACGTTATATCACCATTAGATTTGAAAAACATCGTTAAATAACCAACGCGTCAGTAGAAGTTATATATTTGTTATTGAGGAAATTGTACTTTTATTCTTCTTATTACGAAACATTTTATTGGATGAAAAAGTATTTATTATAACATGTGTGAGATTTGAGTTTTTCACGGCTGTGAAGATGAGGTTTTTGTTTTTTAGCCTGAAGCTCTGAACATGGAAGCAGACTGTTCTTCCGAAAATTTGGCCCGTGCCCACAAGTCCACGTTGTGTTCCTAACCGTTGGAAAAAAATCGATTAATGCGTTGACGTTCGTTCCGTTTTAACGTTTCCCTTAACCCCTTGTCCGTGTGTATGCCAACTCTGTGGAGACGCGGTATGTGAACTTTCTAAATGCAAACTGCCGTGCTACTTAGTATCTTGAAAGTATCCAGCAGATTAATCACCTAAATGAACTGCAACACCCTACCTGCTTTCTGTTTCCAGGGAATCCGATTCCCACTGTATCGTGGTTCGTGAATGACAAGCTTGTTGACGGGATTCTGGAGACGTCAGTTCAACCCGTCATAGTTGTGAACCGACTGGAGGTGTCACGCGTGACCCGGGAACACCTCAACACCACCTACAAGTGTCAGGCCAGCAACACCAAACTCACGTTACCTACCGAGAAGACTGTGCGCCTGGAGTTATTCTGTGAGTATTAACAAACGCCGATGTCCGTAGTTTGGCTCCCGGCAAGTCTATAAGCGAATTAAAACGGATGCTGAAGAGATGGAGACATTTTGGCCTTGTCTTGGCCACAAGTAGGGAACGCTCCCGAAAGCATGATTCACCCGTTACAATTCTTCCATCAGAAAAGTACTGGTAAGCCTTGTCTCTGTCTCTTACCAGACTGACAAATATTTTCTTAAACACAAATGGAGGAATAAAAATTAAATTTTCGTGGGCTACCGAATATAAGAAACAACATAGAATTCCCCAATCAGGATATCTAGTTCACTGGTCGAGTTTTACTTCTATCGGATTTCATTGTTCTTTATTAAAAGAATAAATAATTCTTAAGTAACACTCCTTTGCTAAGAATGTGTATAAACATTTCCCTTACCCTGACAGAGAACTGTTTAAAGTAGATTTTCTTTCCATAAACAATGGCTGTTGTTGCAGACAGAAAGCATTGTCTGAATGTTTAGTTTCTGTAGTTTACTAAACGTCTGACAGGGGCTTTGTGCCACCCACAGAGAAGATGAAAGTTCCCAGTAGGGACCCAGAACACGTACATTAAGGCGTATAAAGACGGTTATGAAAATTACTGTTTTAATTACTTCGTTTGTGAATTATTACGGTCGATAATTCTTAATTTAAAAGTGATTTTGCTTGAAAAGCATTGACATAAGAAACATACAAATTCGTAATATTCTGCGCTGTGTAGGAATTTCAATAATAATGTTAGACACGTCCTACGTCACTCCGCGTGGACGAAGGAATGAAACGGTAACAGTAACTGGAGACGAATGATGAATTGGTGGTCACAGACAGATGTCACCGCAGGTACACGGCGAGTTTGTAAACGCAGAGGAATGAATGAAAACACTCCAGTACACATAATACAGAGTGTCCCAGAAAAGTTATGCACACGTTCAATGAATGATAAAAAGGCATTTTAATAAATCGAACCATTACATTTGTCAGTATTAACACACAGTGAATTAGCAAATCTAATGTAGGTGTTCAAAGTGGCCACCGTTAGCTTCGTGGCACAGTTCAGAGCGGTGACAAACTGACTGTGGCCTCTCGTTTTACTTAGTCACTTTCAGATGGTGTAATAATACCTCATTTTCTAATAAATTAACGCAGTAGGCCTATATCTCTGAAAATGGTAAAATGTTATTAATAAAATAAAAAAAATAGTGAATTATACAATCTATTTTAGCAATTGTAAATGCACGTTTATTAGATTTGCCGGAGGTTGTATAATTCTGTCCAGAATGTTATGGTAGATTCTTGATTGCTTTTCGCACTCTTTTATTTTCCATTAGCACGCCACGAGCGAGGTTCTTATCTTATAACGTGGATTTATGTTTTGTTGAAAATATTGAAATAATCTCCCGTCACATTTCAACAGTTGAGTGGTAATTATTCGTGGCTTCTTAACGACAAAAATTATAATTTACCATTTCAGTTTAGTAGTACTAGGTTTTATTCAAAAAAGAACAATCCGAAAAGATTGGAAAATTTTCTGCCTGAAACTCTGTACTGTTGTGAGCGTTCTGCTGCAATATTTTCCCCTAAAATTACTGGTTTTCAGTTAATAAGTCGTATTTGTGCAACCCCAGTCACGTGCAGCTCACCCACTCACAACCCTACTCAGCGCTTAGTCTTACAGGCATACGCCCACGTAAAACTCGTAAGTGGATTTTGATGGTAAGCTGAGAACTTGCTGTTCAACTTACGCCACACAAATGTCCCACTTCGTACGTCTGTTCGAGAGAATTGAAGTAATGCAATGACGACGTACAGCATTCCTCACGACAATTTCTTATATTTTAAAGAAACACATACAATAATGATTATTTTGTTGACTACATCTATTAAAATAAATTTAATCGTATTCATTAACTTACGATTCCTTTATCTTTCATTGCAGTTTCCATAAATTCAGGAATAAGTTTCTTATTAAATGGCACACAATAGATAACCACTAAAACGATACGGCGTGTTAGGAAGTGCACTCAGAAATGGGCTTATTTATTTCACCAACGTTTGCAGTCCCCTTTGAAACGTATTACGTAGGCATATTTAACAGTGCATTTAGGAATTGGTGTTAGCCGTAATTACATCTTCAAGCAACTGTGTTTAGAAGAACTATATATTTTGCGTCAAAATAAATGTATACTTATTACGCTAAAAACGCAAAGAAATAAGTAAATGCATTTAGTTATTTAATAAATGCGCCTTAAGAATGCCCACCTGTGGAACATTGGACTGACAGTTTTGTTTCTAGTATTTTATTTTGATATTTATGTGCAGTTATCCATTTTTATAGGAATTATTACATGAAAACCTACTTTATGTTATATTATGAACTAAGTGCTCAGTTGAATCTGTACAAGAAGTGAACAAAACAGTTATAACAAGTACGTTAAACTCTCACTGATACCAAGTTTGATAGTTTTCCTAGCGAGCGAATAAACGAACTAGAAAATCATGAAAACAACGTTATAAAGGAATGTTTACTTACGGAAAAGTGCAATGCTAACAAGTTTTGCTGGACCAAATGCTTCAGGTCTACGTGAAAACGTGAAAAATAGGATTCACGGGCGTAACCCCGGTGTATTAAGAAACGTTAATTCTTGTTTTTCAGTGAAGCCATTGTCTGTTCGGCTCCTGGAGAAGCCAAAAGTACTGATGGCAGACACTGAATACAATATTACATGCGAGGCCGTAGGTTCGCGTCCCCAGGCGAAGATCTCGTGGCACCGAGGCAAAGAGTTACTCCGCAGGGGAAAGGTGAGTACTGCAGAGGGGACTAAATTCTGAAGCTGTTGGGTGTGCAGGCATACAAGGCGGCAGAAGATAATGATGAGCGTGGAGAGAACGGGGGGAAGCTCCTAGGTTAGGTTAGGTATGAAGTGTCTCAGACAGTGCTCGTTCGTTCCTCTTGGTAAAGGTAGGATGAAGAGAAGGTCAGGTTTTGGGAAGGTGAATTGGCAGAAAGATGAGATGTGAAGCAAGGACAGAACCTGAGAAGAGTCTTAATGTATTCGGTCGGAATTTAGAATTTTGTCATCAAACTTGGAAGGGCGGAATTTGGTGATTCTTATATCAACGTGGAGGTAGCTACTTTAGGCTCGTATTTATATTCCTATTTGGAGGGTTGTTGGAGAGGTATCCTGAGTAACGAGGAACACAACATTTGCTGTAGGACCGAGGGAAACTACCGAAGAACGTGATCGAGTTAGCAGACCACAGGACCTTCCAGATGCATACTGGCTTTTAATCACCAGTTTGGCGTCAGTCCGTTTCTGTGCTTTTGCTTTGTTCTGAAACATTTTACAGTCTTGATTTACAGAGATTGTGTGCGTTCGATGAGAAAAGAACGTCTTTTGGTTTGTTGTTCATCCACGTAACAGTTTCAACTTACTGGTAGTTTCTGTTTCTCCCTGCAGTGTAGGCTGAAGCTGAGGCATTTCTCAGTAATACGATCGAATTTAGTGCAAACAGCAAAGATTAAAACACTTCTCTATCATCTTTGTAATGATGTTTAGGGACGTGAAGTAAGCAATGTTTAACTTTTGTAGAAATCTTTAGAAACGTTACGATAAGTGTGTTACGTTACGATGTGTTATGGTATCTATGTAAGACTTGAGGTTCTCACAGCGGTGAGTATGAAGATATCCGTCTTCTGGGTTATTGCGCTGTGTAGTCTGGTCGATGTTAACCAAACTCGCCTTTCTCTCTCTACTTTCTCTCCCTCTCCCACTCTCGCCCACGTGCTACCATTGGTCCACTCCCATACCTGCTCCCATTGGCTCGGGGCAGGCTACACTTTTCACTTCCCGACCTATAAATCCAGCTCCTCACACCCTATTGGCATATTCATCGCCCTGATGACGGAGGCAGTATGACCTCTGAAACGTTGGTTAACATCGACCAGACTACACAGCGCAATAACCCAGAAGACGGATATCTGTTATGGTATCTTTTGCAGAGAATTAATGAATGCGATAAATAACGAAAATCTGAGTCCGTGATTGTTTGTAGGACAATATAGAACACTGTTGGACACCGTCCATTGTCTGAAGTATATTTGATATCAACGACGTTTCCGTGATAAAGTTAATCTCTTATGTCTGATATAAAATGTGAGTTTAAAAGTTGATCCCCATCAAATTTCCAATCGGTTATATTCAGTCGTTTTAGTAAATACTGTAATCCCAGAGAATGAAGCGCTGTATTAGAACGTGACAAGTAAATTTCATGGGATTTTTTTTTTTCATTTGTCGTTTGTTACTGTTGATTAAATAAATTCGGGGCATGGAAATCCTGCACAACAGGACTTTGAGTGGATTACTGTGGAAGGATATCGTTATTTTTAAACAGCTTTGGCAGTTTAATTCATAATTAGACACAAATCACGCAGTACGTAATTGATTTTAGTTGTAGTGCCTTGGGAAAATTAAAAAAATTCCATACGTTTTTATAATTGTAATCAATCAATAATATCCTCACGTTTCAGCTCAGAATCTATTGGCGGAAACTGATAATGGGTTCTGCAAGGAAACATTCTCTTGGAATAATTCATATGTAAAAGTGATAAGTATATACTTGTGGCCTATGTGATTCTCGCAACTACTTTTTTTAGATGCCTTATCGTACCGATATTTTAAATAAAACCACAGCGTAACCCTCGTTCCAATTTACCACTATTGTGTAAAATATTTTCGAATCTTTGGATATGTGACGAAATTTAGGTCCTAGAGACAAAAACAGATTTTTTTATTGCGAATATATTTCAAACAGTACGTTCCATATGCGACCTAGCGGAACTGTCTGTGGGGGATCATTTACTTCTTATTACATCATAGAAGAATAATTAATTACGTGTGTATTTAGTAATCAATTTTGACCATTTAAGCAATTTTCATTAAATAGATGTCATTTAACGGGCAACCGCAGCGATAAGCTACAAAGCTGAGCCTTGTATAACTCAGGTAAGTTACTCTGACTTGGGTCTGAACGTCTCGTCATCTATTCGCAAGTACCTCAAAGCCCTTTCGCCAGAGTGAGAAGAGACTGAGATTGGAAGTCACATGAAGAAACGGATAAACCATGACATTAAATTTTAATTGAATCCTTAATTGATGGTGGTGATTTTAGGTTTGAAAGATCAGGTGATGAAAGAAATCTTGCCATTCCGTGTTGAATTTAAAGATGAATGTAACTGATTTTATCTTCAAGCCGAGCAGCCATATCTACAGTAATCAGTCTGTTACTTATTATATGACAAACGGGAGCTGCTTTATGCACATCGCAGTGCTGCTAGTCTAATGTTGTTAGTAGCTTAGATTTGTAGATCATGAATCGTAAATTGACAGGATAGATCGTGGCCTCATTGAATGGTGATGAGGTGAATAGAGAATGACCAAAGACGTGATCTAATCTGCATTGCTCTGGATACACGAACTAACCATTAACAAAACCTCGTGTGGTTGCAGTGTATTAACAGATACAACAGCATTATAGACTGTTTACTAGGAATGCATGGCCTTTATGAAATCACAAGAACTTAACGCGAATATGTATGCGTAATGTTCAGAGCCTGGTGTAGTTTCGAGCACGTTTTATTTTGCCTAATAATATTTCAATAATCTCGACATGTTATGGTGTCGACATAAGTGTTTTGGAGCTTACTTGTTTACCCTGTAATTATCGTAACACTACAGAAGCTACATTAAATTTATTTAATTTACACGCCGTAATCTGACCCCGAAATAAAATTTGTAATTATCTGTTCATATGTCATTTAATGAAATGAAATTCGTAGGTTTTGTATAGTTAGTGAATCTAAAAGCAAGGGGCCTACTTGAAGATCATGCCCCTATATTCACATCAGAAGACGTAGTAATACATAAGTCTGTCAGAATAGTGACTTAATTGCAGAAGAGTTAACCGAATATGTTTCGAATTCCAGCGTTATTCAATAATGCAAATTAAACCTGCTGTGTTCGTTACATTTTAGTAAGGAACCAGAAGTGCATGGAGTCTAAGCGGAAGGTGATTTTGCTCATCCATCCCAAATAATTTCTGTGTCATTGTAAACCTGGGAGTGAAGTGTTCTGTGCTCGTGGTGGGCTGAGTGTGATGATTAAGTTCAAGGCCGAAAGTTTGGACGACGAGAGGCAGATGAGACAGACCACAACTCTGTATAGAACTTCCTACCCTCGTTAGAGCCATTGTTCTGCCGTTTTCAGGCCGTAATTCCTGCAGGTGTACACAGTTTCTAGAATCTGTACAATGAATGCTGTGGCCTGTTTATAATAATTGCAATTCGGTCGCTGACGACGTAGGCTGGCATTCGTTAAAGTCTTTAGTCCTGTGGGGGTGATTAGTAGCTCTTGTGGTAAATACTAGTAATTAATTTACGATTCTGTCCTTCGTTTAAGATTTGTAGAGAATCGTGGGTAGACTTCCGGCCAATAAGAATTTTTTTGTTTTAAATTCAATGTAAAAGTTACTTACAATCAAAAAGGAATAATTGATATTTTATTTAGTAGTCGTATTTTGTAGCTCATTCCGCTGCTGTTAATTTTCGAGGCAACAATATAACACAACAATGACAAAGGAAGAAATTGTTGTAACAGTACAAGGCAGATGCATTATTAGTGTTGTGAACGAACATTTTGTTTATGCGTTACGTCACCCTGACATCTAGGTACGGCCATTTAAGAAGTCAGTAACATTGATATTTTCAATTTGTGTATTGTTTATGATACTGAAACCGTGTTATTTCAATGTAAATTAAGTTTTCAAGCAAGATTTTCATGAAACAGTTTTTGTACTTACCTTTGATGATAATTTAATTTGGCGATAAATAATAATAACTTTTATTTATTTTTAATAAGATTAATAACGTGAAATTTATTGGCTTCTGAGCCTTGTAATACCCAGTGAGTGCGTTGTAAACTGAGTGGATGCCTCAGCTAGATGGAAGGGTGAACGGAGGAGCTTGGGTAACATCAGAAACTTATCAGTGAAAGTTCTGTTCGTCAAATGACCGTGTATGGGTTTCGTGCGGGGTCTTGGAATAAACAGCGATATTTTTTCTAGACAGCACAAATGAATTCATCTTTGTTATAGAGACGCGTTGTGTTTTCTTTGGAGAGGGAACTGAATTTTTAAATGCTACGAGAGGTGATAGGAGCTATCGTAGTAACTATAATTTTCTCGAAATCAGCTTTGTGAAAATATTAAATGAAATGAAGCATTTACTTTAAAAACACTCTTACTTAGGATATTCTTCTCTCAGCTGAGTTCTTGAGGAATAACCCGTAAAAGTGAAGTAAAAGGCGCGTGTTTTCTTCATCTGTTCGATCACTGGCTTTGCGGTTTTGTAACTCTCAACGTATGTACAAGGGCAGAATCCTCGTTTTTCTCTGTTGTACTTTCAGGACATGTTAAGGGCAGAATCCTCGTGTAAGAAGTCATTCAGAATAAAGGACGGTGAATAAGTTTCTGTTTCTCGAACGGAATTCAATTTTAAAGTTGTGAGATATTAAGGTAAATTATTTATTTTTAGTAGGCATATACAGTTTTCAACCGAGTACATAAATTTAAACATTTCGACTGTGAAAAGATGGGGACAGAGTTTGTTCCCGAAACGTCGGTTTACTACGGTAACCACCTAACGCGGCTGATTTCCCGAGAAGATTTTATTGATTTACATGTATTTAGTTTAAATGTCTTTTGTATTGAAATAGTAGTTAATAATTAATTAAGCTTCCGAAAATGTTGTAATAAGACAAGTAAAGAGAACGCGAAAAGACAGTTCTTGGATGCTGTTAGAGCGATAGCAGAAACTTCTGAGGAGCAACTGGAACGCGAAGTAACAAGAATGCCATCTGATTATCTGTCGTCGAACCTTGATACCAGTGACACAGCGATTCTAAGAGTTCTGTGCATTAGGAACCGAGGTATTCCCTTTCGTTTCCATGGATTTTTGTTCCCTGTCTCCCCACACACTAGGGAAAACTGTGAACGGTCCTTTGGGGCCTATTTGCTGAAAGAAGACGGCTGGAACTTTTTAGCATACTTCCCCAGAGGCTTAGAGGGGAACGAAAAACAAACAGAAGACAATCAATGTGACAAATTCTGTTTCTTCCCATCCTTTTTCTTTTCTTTTCTTTTCCTTTCATTGCTTTCTTCTACAACAGCAAGCCACGAGCTTCTGAGTAAACTTAGAAAGGAAATGTTGAGTCTGGTGTTGATACTGGATTACCGGTGAACTACATGTATTCCGGATACATCACGTACTATTGTGCAGAGAACCACCCATTTGACCAAATGCTATGGACACAGCCAAACCAGCATACGGGGTGAAACTTGTGTTTCTTCTATCGTGATCTGCCTCTGAATTCACAGACTACAGACGCGCTGCAATATGTTTTCAGAGGCGATTTTTATAACTGTACAGCGAGTCAAAATTCGATTTAGAAGGCCCTACAAACGAACCTTCAAGAAGGTTAATACTTTTCTAAATAACCTCACAATAATTTTAGGATAATTCATTAAGAAGCAAACAAAAACGCTGACTTTTTTGTCACTCAATTCATGATTTATGGCAAAACAATGTACGAGTAGAAGTAAAATGTATATAAATATAAAATAATGTTTTTTGTTCTTAAACTTAGAATGCTTTAATTTATTAAAAATATTAAAATTTAAATATTATATATCGATGTATTTCTTCTGGGCTTTGACGACGTGTAAATTCGGATGCATGTACCAATGTTTCAGCTGCCCCCATCTTCATGGTTCAAAATTCTGAATTCGTCATAACCCAAAGAGAAGATAATCGACATCTTCACCGCCGTGAGAACTTCAGATGGCTTTTCGGTTATATATTTGGAAAAATAAAAACTTCGTCTCACACTAGTGAGAATAAATATTTTTATACAGAAACTGTTTTACTGTTTAGAGGCGTAATGATGGGACATTATATCGAATTGTTAAGGTTGTCAGCGTCGTGAACATGGCGGAAAATGTTTACGCTTTGTTTATTTTCATTGTTTGGTAAACAATTATATCGGACTTGAAAGTAGTGATTTTAGCAATACGAATCGCAGTTAACTTCTCAGCTTTTAAAATAAAAATCTGTATATCTCACCGCCTCAGGGCACACGCCTTTTGAAACAATAACGAGAGCGTATTATAATTCTTGAAAGCTCTTAGATACATGCATTTCCCTATATGAATAAATTGTGCGGATATTTAGAATCATCGTAATGTTTTGGGGTTTTTGGTGTCAACCTAAAAGCGCTACAAGACGCACATGTTATATTGGACTAAAGCCATGTCCTTACGTCAACACCATTTTATAGATACATAACGCTGCATTACAACAAATTGGCGATTAGTAATGTTTATGTACTTGCTGAAAATGCATTAGACTGTGAATATATTAGCAATTAGTGAAAAATGTTATAACAGGAGCTTTTATTAAAGTGAAACTAATAAGTACGGATGAAGTATTATCACGGCTAATTATCGTATATAAAATTGTAGGAATTATTTCTGTATAATGTTCCTTGTGGCTTTTCGTAATAAAATGTCGACAAACGAGTTAGTGGTGTTTATTAATCTGTTATAATTTCAAATAGTGCATGGCATTTAAGGAGCTGCTGTGCTTCGTATTTCTCCTGCGAAAATTTAAATCGTTAATTTTCCTACACATTTTAGTTGAAATAAAATCCGTAGAAACATATTTACAACCAGCTCAAAGCTACTGCAATAGTCGTATTATGAATACTGCATCAGTCTAAATAATTAGAATCAGGTACGTGTTTGCTATTACTGAGAAGTACCATAAAATAATTTAGACGACTTTCCGTATTTAACTTGAATTGAATTTAGAATTAGGAGAGTAATAGACTACTTTTTATTGGTAATGAATAAATTATGAGAGACGCTTAATGAGGTTGTTTCAGAAGAGCAGGCTTAGACAAACTGCATGTAATTTATCGGTTACTAGCAAAATTCATTCCTAAAATATCTTCTTCCTCTTAAATATCACAATGCCACTCTTCACTGTAATGTTATAACATAAAACGTAAACCGGTATATCGTGAATACAAATAAATGACGTAGGCCTCTATACCTAAACACCCACGACACAGTTTGGGTTTATTTACTGCGTCTTATTTTGCAATGTAAGATTTGAGGTTCTCACAGCGGTGAGTATGAAGATTTCTGTCTTCTGGGTTGTTTCGCTGTGTACTATGGTCGATGTTTACCCATCGCCATGATAACGGAGGCAGTATGACCTCTGAAACGTTGGTGAACATCGACCAGACCACACAGCGCAACAACCCAGAAGACAGAAATCTTCTTCTGAAATGTTTGATGTTACAGCGATATTTAAGAAATGTAATTTTTATCCGCAGTTCAAGGAGTCGGGAAACGAGACTGTGGTAATGAGCACTGTGACATTCTCCCCGAAGCCCGACGATGACGGTCACGTGCTCAAATGTAAAGCGGAGAACCCGATGGTTTCCGGTTCCGGCCTGGAAGATTCTCTCAGCCTCAATGTGGTCTGTAAGTAAACGTGCTTATTTAGCTGACTTACTTTACTTTCTTCTCGAATTTCTAATAACCTGTAATTAAACTTTAGGGCTTAGGTTTACAGAAATACTACAGTGTTATCAATAATTATTATAATGTAATAAACTATTAAATAATATATATTATGCGTTCAGAGCATAATGAACTGCCGATATACATTCCTGTAGGCCAACCACTTACATGTCTACCCGATTTAGTAAAATTCTTCAGTTTTTATTTGTCTGTAGTCTCTTTAACGGAGCTGTCAGTAGATCAGGCTTTACAAAGCCGGACAAGCGCGTTAAATTGAGGCTTTCATAAATGTCCAGGTATTTAATTTAAAATTTTTTAAGCTTTGTTTCAGACCTAACATACAACATTCTAACATTCATGAGCAGAAATTATATGTACGGACTAATTATGTCTATAATTTAATTTGTTTAGAAGAACTTCACAAAATGCATGGAATGAACTCAGCTATTATCTCTCGAGAAATTCTTCAATATATTTAGTGGCTGAAGTTCTTCAATTGCATTCCTATTTCATTATGGTCAGGCAATCAGAAATAATTCGTAAGTCCTTCACAGAACCTAGTGACGCAGCGATAAATATAATGTTCATTCGTGAAATGCTTGATTCAGTTACAAAGTACGTCGATATTACGGCGTTTCTGTGTCTTCCTCAGTCTTCTGTGTTGAATACGGAGCGGTAAAAATAGGTCACGATCGCTTTAGGATTTCAAATGGAAAATTCCCTTTACGCAGTCTGAATGCGTTCCTCCTCCTGTTGAAATCGCAGTTCGTATGTTTGTCACCTAATCGTTCTTTACTTTTAGTTAATTTCTTTTCTTCGTCTAAACTCTTTGGAGTTAAGCCTGTAGTAGCCTACCAGTTCCGAACTTTCAAGTTTGTTCTGGCAACTCACCATTATTGGAGCAATTATTGTTTATTTTTCTTTGATGTTCACGCTGAATGGTCAACTGCCGAAATATCTTTATGTCTGCTCACAAACTTATTTATAACCCTGCTGGTATATTTCATATATTTAAGTATATCGAGGAAACTTAATATCTCTCTTAAGTTTTCAATTTTTCGATCATCCAAGTTGTTGGTATTCCACAAATTGTAATGGAATATTTTTTATTTTCAATTGAAAATAAAGTTCCTTGTTATATTTTCTTTCCTTATCTCCCAATTACAAATTATAATAAGTAGAATATAATAATAATGACAATAATAATCATATGCACAAGACAACGACAGGGAAATTGTAGTAGGCGATTCCGTAAGTTATGATCATTTAAACTTGGGGCAGATTTATCAAATTACAAAGAATTAAACATAAGTGGAAATCCATGATTTCTTTTATAGCCTGCACGCTGTTTACGTGTGTAATACATTCTACGTAAATTACATTAAAGTAAATTCTCCGTGACCAGTGGACGTTTAAACACACATCTGTTGAAAATGAGAGAAATAAATGTCAGGAACCGTATTGGAGCAAGCTAAGCTTCGCTTTGCATTTAAAGTTCCTATTTTTACCGGATGATGCTTTCCAATCCACCCAGTAGCACGCACAGATGCAATAGTTCCGTGTTCCATATAGCTCGATTTCTTTCTCATTCTTTCTCTCTCTCTCTCTCTCTCTCTCTCTCTCTCTCCCTTTTTTATTATGTACGTTGGACTCTCGACTTATTTTTCTCCGCCCACAGCAGAAAGAATATTGCGACGGACACACAAATATTGTCGCCAAAATGTGGTACACAAACTGCCGCACAGTAAAGCTTTAGATGAGAACAAAGTAAATGGTGCTGGCTAATTACAATAAATTTGCAATGTTTTCTCAGCTCATTGCTTCATAAAAGCTGACAACTTGTATTTTTCATGTACAATATACTTTACGCCACGACGAACACTTACATTTAGAGTTCAAAATTTATTATGTTCCCTCGGATTTAGTTCGTATTTTACTTGATTTCGTTGTGTGTGTTCCTTTTCTCTTGACTTTTATTCTCGTTCCTCCTGTCTTTCTATCACTCTTTATCTCTCACCGTTCTTCTGAATCTAATTATAAGAGTCAGAGTGTTAACACATTCAACTATATGGGTTCTTTTTTCTGTAATATTCTGTGATTTTTATAAACTAAGAGTCGATAAACCAACAAAGAAATTTAAAACTAGGAAAATAAAACGTAGGTAATTATGAATATTGAAGTGCCTTCTTCTTCAGGTTTTACGAATTGGGGTTTTTGACATACAGTAGGTCTCCTTGACGAGTAATCAGTTCGACGCAAGGCTTCTACCTACATAGGACAGCAAATACATAATGAAGCAGACACACCCATACCTTGAAAGAGATTCAAACCCACGATCCTAGTGCCCGTACGAGCTAAGATCAAATATTTTTTAAAACTGAGTGAAAATCCTTCAAATTCGGCTGTATTTTGCCTGAAAGTGTTTCGTTCTCTTTACGATTTATCCAATAAATATGAAAATATTTTGGTACTGAATTCATGTTTGAGGGATGATGGGTTTGGTTATAAGAAAGCAGCATTAAAACTGGCGTATCGCTTCCTTTGTTACCCTGGGTGGGTTAATGAACGCGTTCTGAAATCTTTCTCTCAGGTAATGCAGACAGACGGCGGCAAGAGAAGAGAAACCTTTCTTTATGAAATGACGTATGTCACGCAACGGCGAAAAGAAAAAGGATTTGGCACTTTGCAGAAGATCTTGTATTGACCTGCGTTTGTTCTGTTAATGGTTAAAATTTGTTCATACGGGTACTAACACGTCGCCGTCGGTCGACTAGAGGTTTGCGTGCTCGCCACTGGACCCAAGGTTAGCGGGTTCAAACCCGGCCGAGGTCGATGGATTTTTAAGGGTGATTAAAAATCTATAGCACAACTTCCTTCGGAGGAGAAGTAAAGCCAGCGGTCCCATGTCGTAGATTTACGGCTTGTAAAAGAATCTTACGAGAATGTACGAGATGTTTCGTAAGCAAAATTCAGCGGTCATTTCTCACCCAAGTCTCTCTTGATTCACTACTAGATTGCTCTAATTTGAGTAGAAATTGTGCAGAGGCAGTGGGCTTGTCACTCACTGCTCATAAATGCACGCTTCAAAGACAAAGAAACCTCCCACATGGGAGGAGGCCAAGGCTCGGCTTGTGCTATTGCGTCATAGTCAGTCAGTCGGATACCAACAGCGCATTTTTCTCATTACGGGTGCAGACATTTTCGTATTTTTTTTAATGTTTTACTAGTGCCAATGTGACGTGCGTCCAGTTTACAAAATTGAACTCAAAGAATCATTTCCTAAAAATAAAAAGGTTTTCTTTTCGTAACAACCAAGTGCTCATATCTAAGTATGAGAGCAGCGTAAAATTTAAAAAAAAAAACTTAACTCGCGGATACAAATTAACTATGTACGATAAGATATCTTTGCTAAGTTCTGCTCTTACATCCCCCCGTACTCCTTAGTGCACATAGTCAAACCTGGTACTATTGACATTTATAGAAGAAGGTTCTTGTTAAATGACTTCTGTTTTGTAAAGTCACTCGTTGGCTATTAGTGTAGCAGGAAGTCATTTTGCTGCTCTAATAACGAATATGGCGACTGGGTACCTGATCGGGTTTTTGAAGTTGTGTTAGACTTATGAGGGAAGCCTCAACATTTTGTTCCTTTTCCTGAGGTTTGACTCGATAATCTCTTCCTGATCTCACGAAATAAATATACCAAGTTTCGTGAATATCGGTATATCCATTAGAGCTATAACTGAACAAAACTTAAACCCATAATTTCAGTTAAATACAGTTTGTTCCAAAAAGTATATACACATATTAAATGAACGAAACAAAGGTATTTTAGAAAACTAAACCATTACATACGTCACCATTGGTACTATTTGGATGTAGTGTAGGTGTTCAAATGACCACCGTTAGCTTCGTGGTACAGTTACAGCGGAGGGCACCTGATTGACTAGCCGCCGCTGCTGCTGCTGCTGTGTAGACATCTTTTTGGTACACTATATATATGTAAGCTTTTTCACGAGTTTCAGCTTTGTAAGTTAAAGGAGAAAAAATCGTTTCAACGCGAAACACATTTCACGCCTGCAAACATTTGGCACAGTGACATGGAGGACGATTGTTCAAAATTTGCGTAGGTCTGTGACAGATATTGAAAATATCTGCGTAGTTTGTGGTTTATTTAACGACGTTGTCAACGTCTCAGAGCTCAGACTGTAGCCTGTAACGTCTATTGGTAGCGAAATTTGTGATAATGATTTGTACAGAATGTGGAAGGAAGTGATCGTCTTCTAATTTGAAGTAAACTTTACATTTGCTTTGGGGGAATGAGTAAAACTAGGAAAACAACAGACATGATAGGCGGCCTCCAGACCAAGATTTGAACCAGGAATGTGAAGCAGGCGTGACAGTCACTCAAAGGGAAAATTTCAGTATAAAAAACACAGACCTATATGGGTATATATAAAGTTGTCGAAATGAAAGTACATAAAGACATTTCATAAAAAAAGGTAAATACTAACAGACCTATAAAAGCATAAAGCCGGAAACGTATGAATGCGGCTGTTTTAGCGGGGAGGTCAAGTGGTAAGAAGGGTTTGAAGTTAGAAACGACGGACGAATGAGCGATTTCAGACTAAGACAGATTAATTTAACCAGCTTACTCACATTATTAGTACTGCGCATTCCTATGGGAGCATGGTGGGCGGAGTGGAAATATTAAATAATATCTCCAAAGGATACATTTTGCATACCTATGACCAAGTTTATAAGTGTGGAAACTTCTCGGTCTTATTAAATTAACAACAAGTTGGTGATACTAACATTGCGTTTGGTTTTGTATGCTATGGATGGTAACACAGTTGTTCCAAGTTTTGGGAAAAATCGGCCAGGTGTAGTCGCTGTAAGTTCTCAAACCAACTACGGTGTCAGGAAACTTGTTTCGCATCACAATAACCCAGATTAGTAAGTAATAGGCTTTGCTGAAATTAAAGTTATGTATCGAACACAGAGGAACATGATTTAATCTCCATATTCGTCTTGACTTGAGTACTTGAGGCGGTAACAACAGGCCTAAGAACATGTATATGGAGATTAAAAAGAGTTGTCACTGTAGATAAGATGAGGAACCCGATATGTAAATATAAGGGAGATTTCACTATTTACAGACAAACGCAGAAAGAGAAATGAGATGGACAGTAACAGCGAGAAACTAATATAAAAATAAAGCTTTGATGATAAGCTCGTGACAATCGGTTAAAGGCGACATTGGATGTCATCCAAAGTTCGTATGGATACACTTCAATAGGTTACTATAAAATATACGGAGTCTTGTATGTTGGGCCGTTCTGTTATTAATATATTAAAAGTTATAAAAATAAATTACGCATATTACAGCAATCGCAATTAAGGAAATAATTTGCTTGCAGAAGCAGAGACTGGCCGTTGTAGATAGTTTACAATTCCTGTTTCTTCTTTTCTTCATGTCTGCATATTTCTTCGTTTGTCTACAATGCGTGTAATTACTGACGTCTGAGGGGAATAAACCATAAAAAATGAAAAGAAATATGAAGAAGTGTAGATAATAATTTTAAAGTCCTTAGTAAGAGGTCGGTTATCATGACTTCAGTAATGTTCCATGATTTATCGTCCTACAGCCCTACCGTAGTAATAACAAGAGAAGTTAGGCTGGGTTAAAGGCGTATTCTCTTAAAATAACAGCTTACGTTGCGTTGGATCTGCATGTTTTATCGCCTTTACGTTTTTGTTCCAACCTGGTAAACTCTTTTGCAACGTCTCATAAAAATTAATTCCATTCTTTATACGTGAGCTGTAAGTGAAACAAGACTTTTGAAGTCCCTGTAATGCTAATGCACAAAGCATTTTAATTTACTGATAAATAGCTCGGTGGTTGTTCATGGTGTTTTAGTAGTCTGAAATACGTAATGCGTACAAACAATTCTGAAGTTGTTCGTGGTCTTAAACACCACAATATAAAGACTTGTGGGTGAAAAGAGATGAAACTTCGCCCGTTTCTCATCACTAGATAAAGGCGAATGGTAAGCTTCACACTCTGTCGAATGGAAAAGTCACGCAGCGGCAAGAAGAAACTTTGATCAGTGACGTAATCGGAACCCATCGTCCAGTCTGTAGCCAGTCAATTTAAAAAAATGTAAAATTTCTGGAAATTTTGAATCGTGGCATGAAACGGGAAAAGAATTGAAGAAAAATCCGATAAGAAATGGTAAAACTTGAAAAAGTAACGCATTGCAAAAGTTATGGCTGCTTCAAGAATTAGAGGCGAAACACTTTGAAAAACAAATGAGTTTTATACTTTATTTTTGAATTTGAGTAAAGTTAATTTCCTTGTCCTGAGCCAGATAAATTAACTCTACACGACTGTATCATATTTCTTGATCAGCATGTAAACGAGGTTTACATAATTTGTAGTATAGAAACGTGTACACTACATTGGTAGCATTCAATTAAATTCCTAAATGGTGCTCCGATGTGCCGATGGCAACAAAGTGAGTCAGTTTGTTAGATGTGTACTGAAAAGGCTGTACCCTAAAATCAAACGTAAATCGACGGACATGATAAAATACGACATCATCGTCCTATGAACCTGGGGTTCACAAAACTGCTTATGTCATTTGACTCCTAAATATTGAATCTGTACTTAGTAAGGAAATGCAGGAAGGTGGTTGTAGCGCCACGTTGTTTACCAACGCTTCAGAGGTCCTTGCTGCCTACATTACAGGGTCGATGATTAAGTTAAGGTCACTTACACTTAAACTTCTACCACTAAACGGCGCTATATGCCAGAAGACGGCCGTATTCGTACCAGCGCCGCGAGAACCTCAAATAGTACAAGGATATTTAGATTCGCTATTAAGCTATAATGTCACATGCAACATAATTATGGAACAGGTTCACATAATCATGTTTTGACATTCAATGTATATATCTGGTGACATTGTTGAAATAAATATTTATGTTTGAAAGTCCTGATGGTGCAAATTCCAGAGTATGGGTTATTCTGTATCTTCATGGTGTTACAACATTAACGTGTTCATACAAGCGGTTAAAGGAGACATGCAAGGGGATTACAACTATCGGACTGCGGATATATAAATAAAAAGTTTTTCCCCACCCCTATGGACTTGGTTCGTGATTTTATGTGCAGTAAGGGGAAATATTTAAAGGGAGAAGTGTGCACAGCAGCTTTTTCCTTGTTTTTCCCAGTATTAATCTCTAAATTGTAACAAAATCTTTTATATTGGCTGAAAAAATGGTCTATTACTTTCAGTATTACTAATTGTAATGACCATATGTTTGGTACGCACAATCAGTACTGTAGCCATTATATTTAACCGAATTGAGTGTGGTCCAATTCAGCATTCTGGTGTCCTTTTCTTTGAAAGACGATCTGAAATATCTTCGTGAATATGAGATTTGGGGTTCTCATGGCGGCGAAGACGTTTCCGGGTTGTGTTACCGACGTTTTGGAGGAACGTTGGTAATTATCTACAACATCACACTGCGTATAATCAGAATATGGAGACGTTACCTTCCTCCAACATGTTCGTAGCCACCAACACGGCGTCACAACCCGGAATACGCGGAATTGGTTTCATTTATTTTTCCTGCTGCACCATCAGTTA